GGGATATTTAATTCCAGGGATGAGATTATTTGAATCGAACGGAATTCTGTGAAAGACAAGTATATTCACTCCATCCTCCAGTACGGCTCGGAAGTTGATTGTGAAAGACCTCGCGGAGATATCGTGCCCGTGAATCATAGCACGCCTTCGCGCTGCTCGTTCTCTTTATCCCACAGACGTCGGCGTCGGGGAGGCGTCCGTATGAATCCGCGGGGCCACCCAGGGACAATTCGCACACGTACCCTGTTCCGCTCGCTCGACTCTTCCTCCTCAACCCGCCGCCGCTTGCGGCTACGACATAAAGCGGGTGTCGGGGAGGTGGCATCAGTGTCCCGCGGCCAGGTAACTCTCACGGAAGGTGGGGACGATATCCGCGGCGCACTGCGGACAGGTGTGGAAGAGGGGCTGCCAGGGCTGGGGACGGACGTTCGACGGACGAGGTGAGTTGGTGTGAAGGGAGATTGAAGTGAGCTTGACTGCGCTGGGAGCTGCATGTCTTAAAATGGGAAGTCAGAAATGGGAGACAAGAATTCGGCATCCTGTTCGCTAACCTGGTGTGTCTTCGGATGAACCCCCGCCATCATCGTCGTGTTCGTTGGGTGACGAGGTCGTTCTATAGTGTGCTTGATACTGAGAGAGAGTCATCACGAATGTGTGGTACATGCATACCTAACTCGCTCTTCTACAGACCTGGGTGGCTCTGCAGATCTGAGCCGTTCTTCCAGCTGTCGGGCGGCTTCGAGGTGAAAGGCCAGGAGCGCTTCCAAAGCTGGGGTTTGGAGGCTATCGGGCGACATTGGGTACAGTCCAAATGAGTGTTGTGGCACGAGCTGCCTCATTTTATGAGCTGGCGCTTTGGTAGGTACGCTTTGACATTCAATTGCGGTCCAAGCGTGCATTGGGGACGAGGTTTGGACCTTCGAGGAAGCAACAAAGCCCTCATTGCGCGGAGATACGGAAACAGGCTGGAATTGTCGCCGAGAGAGAGGGACACAAGGATCGACTTGCAGAGCGCGCTGAGTAAAAGTTCAAGAAGCAGTTCAAACTCCGCTGATCTGGATCAATTTGATCCATGTCAATAAGCATCAATACCACCTTTCTCTTCCGTTCCCTCCATGACCTGAGCGCTATTCCTTTCCTCACGGCCTTCAGATCTCTACCTCCGTCGGCTCTTCTACGACACTCACCTGCAGCTGTCGCGCCACAGATCTCATGAGTCATCCTCAACGGCAGTGAATGTGAGCCTACTTCACGTTGGCCCGGCACTTTCGTGCGTGTGTTCCTAGGCGTGCCAGGTATCGCTCCACCAGCACATGCGTTCCAATGCGAAGGGATGGTTTGGAGAAAGGTATCCGCTCAGCCTATTTTGTTGGTCTATGGACCGAAGATCCGAAGTTTTCTCGTTATGGCTGCCGCCGCTGGGCAGACAGGCACAGTGTCCAGACCTGTCCCTGTCCCTTCCTATTCCTGGGTCCCCTATCTTCCAAAGACAATCGCGAATCGCGATAGGCAATCCGCTATGGCCCTGGGTATCCGACTGTGTGAATTCTCTTGATGACTTTTTACGGCGTCCGCTTCATGGTTGGTGTCTCTTCAGTAGCTCGGCTCTTCTCCGGTGCCGCTTCGCGTTCTAGCATTCCCAGAACCCACATATCGGATGTTAGAACCCAACCGTTCTGCGAACTGTCCATCCAACTTGCTTCCAAGTCCACTCCGGCAGCACTCGGCAGCCCTCTGTCAAAACACATGATCTGATTTGGCCGCTGATTTGCCGAAGTTGTCCTGGCTACGGAAAGTCTCTCGTGCCTCGGCCTCCTATAAAAGGTATCAGTATCCGCCCGCACGGTCATCAGGCTCATCACACCCGCACAGTCCGCGTGCATATATTCCGAGGGTGAGAGTGTCATCCTATCGGACCCCATCTTCCCTTCATCCTCATCGTTCGCCCCAGCTTGGACCTCAGCAGTTATGATTATGACCTCCGCACGATCCTTCATCGTCGCCGTTGTTTCCACGCTCCTCGTTGCCCCGCTGGCAGCGGCCGCAGCGCCAACGGACTGGAAACTCGAAGTCGGCTGGAACCGGACTGTCCTCCCCTCGCTCGGGACATCCCTTGGCGCATTCACGCCGCCGACTGGCGCGGCTGCGCCATCGCCCAAGGTTGCCAATGCCGCTGTGACCGCCAATGTTACCACCGCGCCGACGAGCGCGCTCGGTGTACGTCTTGACGTTTAATTTTCTTGCCTCGTTCTCACAGTGGGATAAGAAACCCGGGGGCGTGTTCATCTGCCAAGATCTGAATTGGAAGGGGCTATGCGGGTGCGTCCATTTTAGCCTTTCACTTCCTTGCTCTATATCGATGCATTCGTCCTGTCAGATACGCTGTCGAACCCATGAACGAGTGCATCCTGCTCGCCAGCCCCTGGCTTGACACCATAACCAGCTTCGGGCCCGACCCCGGCGCGACGTGCTTCGGTGAGCTTGCTGCTTGGATTATTCTGTCCAGGCTTACTGACTGCTTATCTGCTAAGCCTTTGCGTAAGTTCCTTGTTACTTCTACGCAGCGTGCAAGATTACAAAACGGCAACTCATCGGATGTAATTTTTTTTAGCTCGGGCAATTGCAATACCAACGAGGCCCAGTGGTCTTTCACATTCCCAGGAGATGATACTGGCGGACTGGCGACGACCAACCCGTTCAACGACAAGGTGCGTTGATTTTTTTCTGGGCTTCCCCTCCACGTACACGGCTCATTTTCTCCGGCCAGATCACAAGCTTCGCGTGTGTCCCGTCGTAGAGCCTGTGTGCCTACTTTCTCTTTTATTCCTTGGTTTAAATGTTGAACAATGAAGACGAGTTCTATATGGTGCAAATGAATTGGTTGTGCATGTCTGCTGTGTGCGTCGCGTTTTTCGCCGGGCTTTATTGGGGTCGGCCTTAATCTTCGGAAAATGACCGGAAGTGGACTGTTTTCTTTCAACCCGGTGGCTGACGTCGCCAGTTACTTCGAGCACATTGGAAGGAGGTGGAGGGAAGTTGTAATAACAAGCCGCTCTAAGCCCTTGCGGCGACATCTGTCACCTGGCTCGGGCTTTGGTATCCAGTAGTACCCGCGCCGATAGACGCTCGTCGTTGATCTTGAACGTCGCACAGCCTGACGCGCAGCGCAGCGTTCCTTTCTCTCTAATCCTCATCATCAAACACCTCGACGAATACTAATGGCATCCAACGAGGCGCCTTCTCCCAGCCCGCCTCAGCTCCCACCCAACTTCGCCAACGAGCTCTGGCAACGCTATGCCGCCCAACAGAAACGTAACCTCCCGACGGCCGAACCGGAAACATCATCGTCGTCAGCCTCCGAGATCTCCCCAGAGGACTACGTGTCGTTCACATCGCACCTGAAATCGTCCACCCGCATCCTCGCGCTCTTCGGCGCCGGGCTGTCCGCGGCGTCAGGCATCCCGACGTTCCGCGGTGCCGGGGGCTTCTGGCGCGAGTACGACTGCATGACGCTCGCGACGCCGAGCGCGTTCGCGAAGGACCCGGCGCTTGTGTGGCAGTTTTATAGCTACAGGCGGCATTGCGCGCTCAGAGCGAAACCCAACAAGGCGCACACTGCGCTCGCAGAGCTTGCGAAGAAGAAACCGGGTTTCTTGGCCATTAGCCAGAACATCGACGGTATGCATACTCAATTTAAATTGTTTGGAAAACATTGTTGAATTGCAGAATGTAGGACTCTGCCAACGCGCCGGTCACCCGGCGGAAAACATCCAAACCGTGCACGGCTCCCTCTTCAGCAATAGATGCACAGAATGTCAGTATGTCGAGCACGACAACTTCCAAGACCCGCTCGTCCCCGCCTTTGCGCTCCCAGATGCCGTCGACGCAGCTGACGCGCGCTTCCCGCTCAAACCCATCGCAGTTGCGGACCTCCCACGCTGCCCCGCGTGCAGCGCGCTCCTCCGCCCGGACGTTGTGTGGTTCGGCGAGTCGCTCCCCGCGGCCGCCGTCGAGCGCGTGGACGCGTGGATGGAAGACGGCGCGATCGAGCTGATGCTCGTGGTGGGGACGAGCGCGCTGGTGTACCCGGCTGCGGGGTACGTGCACGCTGCGCGGCGCCGGGGCGCGCGAATCGCTGTATTCAACCTGGAGGATCCGAAGGATGGGGAGGAGGGGTCGACGGCGAGGTTGAAGGAGGGGGATTGGTTCTTCAAGGGGGATGCGGCGGTTCTGCTTCCTGAGCTGTTGAAGGAGGTGATTGGTGTCGTTCCTGATGTTTGAATGGGCATTTGAAATCGACTGTCGCCCGAAATTGCGCGTCTGTGCACACATACATATTGTTTAGAGAGCCGTTGTTCAACCCTGTGTCTAAAGATTTCGCACCGCCCAACCCGAAAATCGGGCCTACCAAATAAACCTTACACTGTGCGTTCGAATCCGGCTTTACAGAAGGTCGCTGCATGCCACTGGTCCGCGTGTCGCCTTGGTGCCGCCCGTGTCAAGTCACCGAGTTGAACAAGACTTGAGAACCGAGATTCCTTCGTTCAACATCAACAAGCCTTTTCAGTTGTGAACTTGCTGCATCTCTTGGATTCCCATATCAGGGGCCGCAAGCGTATGTGTCTCTTTTCTCGTGCGCTTTCTGCGTCGTTTGGGCGAGATCGCAGAAATAGAGGGCAAAAAAAATGTATTTGCATATGACCGTGATGAAAAAACGCTCAAACTTAGAGCCGCAACTAAGCTGGGCGATCTATTGGCTACAACAGTATTTTGCGCCGGAAGGACTCGACTCCAGTATATCCAAGCACATATTATGATGTCCAATGAGGTTGAAGGGGAAAACTGTTTGCCAGGCGACCATGCCCAGGAATCGAACCTACGCAGACATCGACTTATGAAGATTCAAAGCGCGGACGCGTGGTTGGGACGCGGTTGCAAAAAAGTAGCCCAAACTTGCAAAAAGGAATGCACGTACCAAAAAATCTCCAACGCTTTGGCCATGCCCTCGGCAGGAGTCGAACCTGCGTAACCTCCATCGCCTTGAATCCCTTATGGAAAAGAAGTGATAACCACTTATCCACGAGGGCAACGGCAGTACTACAGTTCATGCCATGGACCACCCTGAGGTACGTGGTGCCGCGATCGCAGATAACGTATCAACTTTTAAGTGCTAATGTGCGAAAGTTGAAAGTTCAAATGGTCCACGCAACAAAAAAACAGCCTCGATTCAATACGCCCTCGGCAGGAAGCCTCAAGTAAATCTCATTTTGCTGGAGTATGACGTGAGGGAGTAACCAGTCATCCAATAGGGTCAGCAAGAAACCTGACAAGAACAGTGGGAGGGGTCCGCGAACGACTTGCGAAAGAAATTTCAAACTGAACAAAAGTACCGTGCCCCGGGCCGAGAGGTCATGATCACATGAGTGGTGATGGCATCAAATTCTCGTTCTTCCCAACCCTTCCCGCCGTGCGCCGACTACGTCGCGTCGACGCTGTGATAGCGTGCATCAAAATCGCCGCTCAGAAACGGCATCTTCCACACCGACCTTTCCTTGCTCCACTGAGGGCTGAGCACTCGTGCGCAGCCTCCTCGACAGTGAGAAACCCGTCTGGGCAGGTATGCTCAAACCTGCTTAGATCTGGTCCAACTGGTGGAAACTGGTGCTGAACAGATCGACACTCGATCATCTACCCAAAATAGCTCCTCTGTTTCGTTTCTGTTTTCGGGTTCCTCATTTTTTAATCTCATTCAAAATTTGAGATCCCTGAAAGCGCGAGCTGGGTCTCCGACTCTCCGCAAGCGCCAAAGGCCAAAATGGCGTCGGACAAACGCGATTCGCGACTTGTTTGTTTTTATTGACAAAGGCCACGTGATGATATCGATCTTGTCCCCTCCCACCATCGTCGCGTCCATCGCCCCCCATCGCGGCCACTACAAGCCCTCCGAGCATGCAGGAAAGGCTCCCAGACCCCTTCTGTATCACCACCTCGCGTTCTGGATGATTCCGTTCAACGGACGAAGCTGTAATGGCCAAATGTGACCTTTACCAATATCGGCGTGTAAGTCGGCGTTGATTCACTCAGCGCCGTCAGTGTGCTCAAAACCCCTCCTAGGCGTTCTAATCCGAGTTCCTAGGTACTAGATCTCTCCTCAGGACTCGCTGCGGAGCCTGCAGAGGCCACCGATTCCGCCGTATCGCGCTGTTGTCCGTTTTGGACCCCCAGGTCGCCGTTTCATGGATCCAACATGATATAGCACTCGAACCGCCATCCGCAGGACGTAGTGGGTCGGAGGTGGAGTCACAGGCCGAGCGGTTTACCGATGGGCAAATTCTCAGGTGCGTGTGCGGCATTTTTGTTTTTCCCCTCCCCGGCCCCTTTGTCGTCCTCGCTTGGTCCACGCTATCCCCCACAATTTTTCTGCTACCTAAGCTCACGCCCCTCTGCTTACGCCCCTCTGTCCTCAGACGCTTCCACCCCTCGTCATGTTCCTTCGGACTTCTTTTTCGCTCTTCCTCGTTTTCGCTCTCCTACTCGTTACTCATCTGCATCTTATCCAAGTCCTCCGACGCGTCTGAGCGCCCGCCAAGTCGTTATGGCTACCTCGGTGTCTGTCAGGTATATCTCGCAATTTGCGCCGCCACTTTTAGCTCACGTACCACCGCGGCACTCGGCGTCCACTTGCACCCCACCTCAACAATCCGGTAACTCCTTCTTTCACAGTTGAGGACCCGTTTTAACATTGCGCCGTTTAGCTTCCTCATTTGCTCCTGACACAGTATGCACAGTATGTGTTTATTTTTCAATAGCGTGATGCCTTCACTCATCTCAAGCAAGGTAAAGCTTGGTTATCCTCGTCCCTGTGTGCCCCTTCCTCTTCCCCCGAGATGCGCGCCATCGATCTCCTTACGCCGACCCGAAAGCCCGAGTACCCTGTACTATTGGTGTGTATGTACGTACATCTCTATATTCGCGACCCCCTTACTGATACCACACCACAGCCTCGTCGCTCCTCGAGACCACCCTTCAATGAGGTATGTAAGATATGCGTCTCTCGTCATATCTCAGCTCACAGGTGTCGCAGCGTCTGTATATTCCTTTACCGTCTTCGAATGTCGCCACGTCCGACAATACTTCCGTCCACCGTCCCATTCTCGCCGCGTCCTCAACCGTCGCCGGTCGTGGACCTCGGGTGCATATGCGGCGGCACTTGGTATCTGTGCTCGACGGGCGGCGGCCGTAGTACGATACCCTGTATTGTGTAGAAATGCAATATATGCACCATTATTGCAACGGAAGACAAGAAACGGATTGTAACACATCTGAGCAGTTCAAACCATACCTGCCCATAGCAGCGCATACCGAAGCAGATCAAGTTTGAAAAAAAGTCCAGAAAATGTGCTGAGAGGTGCTTGTATATGCTTGAATATGGGCTTTTCGAAAGAAGCACATTTGAACAGGTTTGAGCATACCTGCCCAGACGGTTTTCTCACTGGGCCTCCTCGAGGCCTCCTCCCATGGACCCATTCAAAGTCTTAGTCTTCTGGCCAAATCTGGACCTCGCCGCTGGACCTCGCGAGAGCTCTCGACAGATGCACAAGAGCGGCCCTCTCCGACTGGGAGCTTCGGCAACTTTCTCCACCAGGAACGCAAGGCGCCAATAAGGCACACGACAACGCCCTTCTGCCATCGACGACTCGCTGATCAGCCGACCGCGCACGCATCGGCTCTCGTATTTACGTGCGTCGACAGGTGAAACACGCGAGCCGCGACGCGACACCACAGAACCCAGCTCGTCGCGCGCCAGCGATAAGGTATGTGTCTTTACACTTCCTTTCTCCGTCCCCTTCCTATCCCTCCCCGCATCGCGCCCCTCGCGCGCTCTCCTGCCGCGCGCCGTCCAGTGTACTGTTCGACCTGATGCGCGCCCCCATGGGTGCCGAGTGCCACATCCTCCTTCTCCTTCTCCTTCTCCTTCTCCTTCTCCTTCTTCTTCTCCTCTCCTCTCCCATCTCCCATCTCCCACTCTCCCTCTCTCCAAGTCTGCCTTCCTTCCTCTCTACATACCTTCTCCTTCTCCCTCCCTGTTACACCCTTCATTGCTGCAATCTTTCCCTCCATATCTCCCGAGCGTCCATCCCCGGTACCGTTGCTCTCGCCCATATCCCGCCCGCCGCCGTACGCACCCCTCCCCGCTTCCCACTTGTTACCAAGACTCATACACCCTGCCTGTGCTGTGCTACACGTGTTCGCCGTCGCCAGCACCAAGCATGCACGCGCCGCGCGCGCCGTCCACACCATATGGTGGTGCACTCCCAGCGGGAACACTCCGATGGATGTGTGCCACTGCATGCACCGTACCCACCGTACTGTGGTGTGCAGCCCTGAAAAACCTTCCAATAGCTACACTGCAGTCCATATCACACCACATGGAATCAAATAATTGTGTACATCCCTACTCTTGTCCTGGACTCCTTAGCAAACCTCGGAACAATTTCAGAAAGACTTGCTTTCCCATCGTGGTGATTCAAAGTTGCAGCGCGACTGGTGCATGTTCCTGTACGTGGTGTAGAAGGTGGCCGAACAAAATGTGATTTGTCTCGGGCCTCTCGGCGGCCGAGTCAGCCCTTTTTGGCTTGCCGCAGCTTGCGTGGCGTGTTGGGGCAGACTTAGTCAGCATAGGTCAGCATCGGCATCGCAGCACACAAACAAAAATCCTTTCAGCCTCTTACCACCACCAGCACCCACTAACAGCTTTATACATCCCCGCTCGTACAGCCTTATCCACAGCATAGTCCCCGCCAGCATGCTCGTCGACAGCCAAATGGCCTCGTCGCTGTTCGCCACGCCTTACAGCGACTACGCCGCGTCTCAGGACCTCAACGACATCTTCCACACCGAGCTCTTCTCCCTCCCCTCGTCCGCAGCGTCCTCCTCGTCACATTCGCAGTCCTCTGGGTCCCGCGAGAGCACCCCAAATCTCCAGACACCCCCACAAGCCGCACCCGCGACCTCGTTCCCAGAGATCGGCGACGGGGGCAGCCCCACACCGAGCTTCTTCAATTTCCTCGACGAGGACGTCAAGGCGCTCGACCCGCTGGCGATGCTGTCGAGCGCGCCGTACGACTTTTTCGGCACCTCGTTTCCCAGTGGGGGCGGTGGTGGCGGGTCGATGGACTCGAGCAGCAGCGCAGAGATGAGCGCGATGCTCGGCATCGACCCCTCGCTCGTCGGCTCGCCCGCACCTGCGTCCTACTCGGACTTTTCCGACGCCCACTCGACGTCGCCGTCGGACGCCACCTCCTCGCCCGAGGAAAGCACCACCATTGCCCCCGTCAAGGTCGGCGGCCACGGCAAGGCCCGCAAGGGCACCGTCGTCGGTGGCGGCATCAAAAAGTCGTCGTCGGCCGCTGCTGTCAAAGAGAACACCTCGACAGCGTCGACGGCGTTCATGCCCAGCACCACGTTCAAGCCGCGCGCGAACAAGGGCGAGGACGACGAGGACGAGGACGACCTTCCCGCCGACTGGCGCCCCCCGCCCGAGGTCTTCCAGAAGATGAGCAGCAAGGAGAAGCGCCAGCTGCGCAACAAGATCAGCGCGCGCAATTTCCGGGTCCGGCGAAAGGGTGAGTTTTCGTCTCTTTCAAAGAAAAAACCGCTAACATTCGGCGCAGAGTACATCTCAACGCTGGAGGACAACATCGCCGAGCGCGATCGTCTCCTGTCCGCCATCCGCGCGGAGCTGGGGAGCACGCAGAGCGAGAACCTCGCTTTGCGCCAGGAGATCGCCGCGCTCAAGCGCACCTTGCTGGACAACCGCGGCCCTGCACCCGTCCTGCCCCCGCCTGCGCCTTTGTCGTCCCCGTCCCTCTCCAGCTCCTCCCCGTCGCTCTCAAGCAGCAGCGGCAAAGAGGCGCTGAGCACCCCGACGCTCAAGGACGTCACCTCCGCCTCGGCGTCGACGCGCTTCTGGCAGCAGGGCGCTCTTGGTGGTGGATACACCAGCGTGCACACGGCGCGGATACCCGAGTTGCTGGGCGCGAGTCCGTGGGCGGCGAGTCCGTTTGCGAGTGCCGAGGTGCGTTTCTTTGTTCGTTCCCCTTCCTTATCCCGTTATTAACTTTGTGCGACAGACCCCCTCGACACCGCACCAGCAGGAGAACCTCAACCCGCTGCTCAACGGGACGAAGGTCACGGAGGTCGTGCGCGCGGGGCTGGGGATGGGCGCGGCGACGGGGGCGAATGGGGCGGCGGATGGGTTTGGGGACGCGAATCCGTTCACGGTGCGGAGTTTGGATGCGTGAGTCCTCCTTCATCTCCCATACATCCTCATCCCCACGAGAACAACGTCCTGACGCACACTTACAGATACCGCATGCACCTCTGGGGCCGCATGGCCGCGCAGTACCGCCACAACAAAGAGCACCCCGCCTCCTCCAACACATCCAACTCCAACTCCACCTCCCCCACCGCCAATGCCAACGCCTCCCCCTTCAGCAGCGGCAGCGCCTCGCCCTTCAGCAACGGCGCCAACACCGGCTTCAACAGCGCCAACAGCAACAATGCCAGCGCCTTTGCGCCGTCGCCGTTCTTCAACCCGAGCGCCAAGGCGCATTCGCCGCCGCACTCGCCGCCGTTCCCGCTGTCGGGGCTCGCGGGGGGCCTGCGGCCGAAGTACTTCTCCAGCCCTGCGAGTGGGAGTGGCAGCAATGCGGGAGCGAACGCCAATGGGCTGGCGGCGTCGTTGGCTGGCTTGTCGTTGTCGTCCAAGGGCGGGGTGTTGCAGCAGCAGCAGCAGCGCCAGCGCGAGTCCGCGAGAGAGAAGGAGCGGGAGCGGGAGAACGCGAGAGAGAGGGAAAGGGAGAGCGCGATGTATGCGGCGATGGCGAGCCAGACGCTGCTCAAGCGCCTTGGGGGCGCGTTCTGGGACGCGTTCTCCGGTGCCGGGGAGAAGAACCCTGCGCTCGGTGCAAGTGGGGCGGGGGCGAAGGGGTGGGACGCGGAGAAGGTGCGGAAGGTGTTGGAGGGGAAGGCGGTGGTGCGGGTCGTGGATGTGGACCAGCTGCCGCCGTCGCCGAAGATGTCGCCCATCGCGAGTCCGAGGATCTCGCCGGTGGTGGAGAAGAAGCATTGCCATGGGCAGTTGGCGGAGGTGTTGGAGGAGAGCATGCGGAGTTTGAGTTTGGGGAAGAAGTAGGGTGGTCGACGATGTCGATGACTGCTTTATTCTTTGACTTGTTCTCTCCCTCGCTCTGGCTCTGCCTCTCTTTCCTTCTCTCCCTCAGGACTTTGTACATCTCCCTCGACTCCGGCGGCTCGACACACGACCCCTCGGATTTTCCATTCCAACTCGCCCCTCGACTCTCATCTCACTCTCCATGTCGCCTCTTTCCTCGCCTCTCCCCCGGTTTTCGCGCTCGACATCTCGGCTTCGATTGTCGACCCCTCGATACGAATACGAATACAATCTGGATACATACGATATTCCGCTCTGGACTAGCCTGAGCCTCACTCTCCTTCCCTCTCTGTTTCTTTCTTCCCCTCTTCCCCTCGTCCTCCTCCGACTCTCGTTTTCGCCGACTCGACCCGACTCACCGCCTCATACTCGCGCTCGGCCGACGACTGCGGAGGCCGCGTCACCCCGATGCCGTCGCCGACAAATCGTGATTACGCCCCTCGTCAGCGGGTTCACGCGCGCGCGGAGATCTCGCCGGGCGGCGGGTTATCCGTTCCCGCTTTCCTCCGATTGCGGAGTTGCAGGTTTTCGCGAGGCCGCTGCGGACAACGAGGCGCTCGCGCTTGTACTACGGTTACGGTTACGATCACGGACCCCCACCTCCACTCCATCCCCACCCCCAGAATGCGGACTCCAGCCTGAGAATCGACTCCAGAATGCTGAATCAAAGTGTATATCAGAAAGTAGAGCTATTAAGTATAGTTTTGGATAATATTAGTTTTTTTCTTTTCGTTGCGTTGTTTGAAGACTAAGAGTGAGTTTTGTGGGTGAGGTAAGGTGTTGAGGCGGCCACGACTTATGGGCCTGGCAGGTGGCCGAGATAAGTCAAGCGCGCGCGGGACATTGAGATGGGCCTATGTAGTAGGTGAGGAGATAAAGGGCACGCTTGAACGTTGCAGATTTAATCTTGCACCCACGTCCCATTAAACCCACGCGTCTTGCATGTGTTGGCTTCAAGGTCGGCTTTTCGTAATTTGGTATTTACGAGCGTTTTGGTGCGTGGCAGATTGTCCAACTCGTCATTAACGTTACGCTCGAGTCGTTGAGAAGCGGTTATCACCTCACAACAAAGGTTCGAATCCTGCCGGGGTGATAAAGCTGGACCAAAACTTTTTTGTGCATGGTAAAGTTTTCCGTCGTTTTCGATGTGGACAGCGCCGTTCTGCAGCAGATATTTGTTCCGTTGAAAGTTTTCAACTGCTCATTGCCTGCTCATCCCACACCTCAAATTTGTAGAGGCAGCACGGCACCGTACCTTTCCACATGCTCTGCAATGCCTGCATAGGTCAGTGGTAAGATCGCCTTCTCTGAATAGACGTGTTCAACATTTCGGTATGAAGGAGACGGAGGTTCGACTCCTCCTGCGGGCATCCCTCAGTAGTGTAGCGTTTTTGCCCTCTCTCGGAACCGTGCTCCGCCCGGCGATTTTTGGCCCCACCTGGCTCAAGATACCAGCCTTTTGCGCCCACTGGCATTAGTATCGCAGGGCGTGAAGTGTATGAACGAGACAGACTCTGGCACAAGCGACTGCGCTTGAACTCATCCTTTTGCTCGACTCAATCCTACTCAACCACACCCGCATAAGATCAGATAGAAAATCGTGGCCCCCGTCGCCGTGTTACGCCCAGCTCCAGCCTGCGTCCCGCTTTCCCTGACGCGAATCTCCTCAAGCAAGTTGAGGTAAACTGGACAGATGAAACGACAATTATACAGGATCATTCTGGGTGCACTGTCTGAGCTCCAGTACCAAATCTCTTCCTTTGACTCGATCTTTTTCTCAGAACTCACCGCGAAAACAGTCAAGCGCGATTGGGAAAATGAACAATATCACAAACATTCTGATTCTGAACATCGCAAAGAGAGAGACAGTCCGTCCGTTCACAACAAGTAAAGTATCCTCCTACTCCAGAATTTGAACGATTACGAGTTGGACCAGTGGAGCCAATCGTTGAAGTTGCTGTACGGAACGCTGTCGCCGGTCGCGGTCCACGCAGTGATCGGGTCCCACCACTGTGCGACATCGTCGACGCTGGTGACATGCAATATCAGTATCGGTCTTCCAATGTCTAACGGGGAAAAAAAAACGCACTTGGGCCACTCGGTACCGGTCACATTCGCGGCGGACATCTGGCTGAATACGAAGTCGACGTAGTTCTGCTGCATGATGGGACACCCGGATGCCGCGCAGTCACCGACGATGACGCCGTAGATCTGTGGTAGAGTCCGTCAGCATGCATGCCAATAAACTAAAACTTGAACTTGAAGGAAGACAGAAATAAAATCTGGCGTACGGCGGCGGACCAGCTGGGGATGCTAGAGGCAGGGAGGACGTTCGGGTTCTGGCATTGGTTGAGGATGATCGCGCTTTGGGTCTGGGAAGCGGAAATATTGTAAGTACTTGCGCCCGGGAGAACATTGATTTAAAAGGAAGGAACGCACGCCTTGGCAAGTCGCAGACGCGACACAAGCGGCGTGGCTCCAGATGCTCATGCCGTTCTCCTTCAAGCACGCACGCCCAACAGAGGCGCACGCCGGCCTGTAGATGAGGGTGGTGTCGTGGACGCCGATGTACCTCGCGGTCCCGGAGCAGTCTTCCTGGGTGGGTGGGTACATCACATCCCGAGCGTCGAGGACGGTGGGCACGGCGGACGCCGTGGCTACAGAGACGAGAGCAGCTGCAATCGCGATGAAACGCATCTCGAAGGAGTGAACGAGTGGACGGTGCGGGAAAAAAGAATGTGGGGTAGCGTTTCGCTGATGTTGACTGGCGCTGCAGTCTGTCTTTGAGTACTTGAGCTCCGTTCGGCGTGCAGATCCTGCCGTGCGACTTCGTTAATCTCCTGTGCGATCTGCTCAATAGCGCAATAGATTGTCTTGCCAACAAGCGACGCGAGTCTAACGTGGTATTATTACCCCTTCGCCCGGACGCAGACAGGGCGGCATGCAGATAGGATCCAATTCTATCCAGGGCCTGTGGAGGCCTGTGGTCACGGTATGAGAAATGTCGCGGTGATCAGCAAGCGATACTAGGTTCGCATTAACAAGCCATATGTTGTTTGATGCGACCGGATGCGACCGGATCTCAGGTCTCGCACCAACCAGAGAGCCGACGGAAGGTACCACGAGGGCGGCGTCGTATCATGGGTTGCCTGTGCAAGAAAAGAGATGCAAGCACGAGTGGATGCGCGCACAGTCGACTGAGCAACGAGACCGTGACGATGGCAGTGAGCTCGACGTATGCCTTCGTCCCCAATCCAAGGAACAAGGCTGCGATTGTATTCTATCGGTGCTCCTAGTTGTCTCCAAGACGCGCGGCGGCACTACGTTTGGGAGATTGGCTCGTTCGGAATCCATCGACTCTCGAGAGGTGGTGAGTATGTTGGCTCCGTAGCTCTTTCTCAGGTAGATAAATGATATAGCGCCGGGACCAGAAGGCGCTCCTGCGGATTTTAAGTTGTTTATCAACTTTTTTGAGATGAGAGTCTGGAGAGAACAGGTTTGATGGAATGATCCGAACGCACTACCACACAGCTTTCAGCGCCTCCTCTTAGTCTTGCCACTCATGTCAATATCCTCACTTGACTCGGATGCTGCGCAATGCCCAACAGGACCGACACCTGAACCGCGCCGCATAGAGGAGCTCTGGTTCCATGACGGGACCCTGGTGCTTGCGACAGAGGCAGCGCTGTTTCGCATCTAGTACGGGGGACTGCTGGCCAAAGAATCGCCAATTTTCAGTGATATGCGCTCGACACTCCATCGACGAAATTCTGAACGGTGTTGATGTCGACGGCATACGGGTAGACTTGAATCCCACGGACAAACGGGCGTGTTTGGAGCAATGTATTCTGCTACGGGGGGCTGCATCTGCGGAGATGCTAAATTTCCTTTGGGAGCCCCAGCAAATCGCAAATTGTCGTGGCGTCCAATGCCAGCACACTCGATTTTTGTGGAGGAAACGAGTGGAAAAGCGCAGAACCGTGCACTTACCTCTCACTCTTTGGAGAGACAGTGACTGGGATGATCTCGACGTGTGCGATATCTGCCTGGCTGCCATGAAGGCAAACCATCAGAGGGTGTCGGATAATTTCTGGGACTGTTTGCCACAGAGGTTCGGACTTGCGAGCTGGGAAGAACTCGGGAAGATGAAGCAAAATGTGATGGGTAGCTAAAAAGATTTCTTGACCGTGTTTCGTTAAATTTTGAGACGGGTAGAAAATCTGATACGAGATAGGACGCCTCACAGGACGTATATATAAGTGGATACCCACTGCCAGTGGATTCTTAACTCCCGAAACCGAGAAAAACACAAGCAGGCTCTCCCGAGCCTCAGCGCTTGCCCAGCACACTCGGTGCTTTGTACCAAGCCGTTCTTGATCTGTGGGCATTTGCGTGAAGGAGATAAGATTCTCATCCATCCCAAAGCATGCAACTCGAAGGTTGCTATTGTTTTTCCGTCTTGACCTCTCGGTCCTGTCTCTGTCCAGTTATGCGGCACGAAAACTCTATCGTATCACTGGCAATTCATACTACATACCGCATAGACCTTCAAGTTGATGCTTTTGATTCCAACCCAGCCTTGGATAATGCAGGCTGCCAGTCTACTAACCTGAGACTGCCCGCGGACCATTTGCTCCGACCAACATTCTGGTTGGAGTAGACTTCAACCCGAAGTCATATGCTTATTGAATGCAGACGGTTCGGAGAAGGAGGCATGTTCTTCTCGGCCTCCATCCTGGGCCTAGCCTAGTCAACCACTACTCCTACAATTCACTCAACGACGCGGCTCCAGGCAGAATTAGTGGCAGTACATACGATCTGTCACCTACATTACGCACCTGGACCAGCCTCGTCTACAACGGCCGCTTCCTCATTTACAGCATTCGACGAACGAGAAGCAACCGAGAAGAAACCGAGTTGAAGATGAGCCGACTCATTAGCGCGCTTCATCTGACATTTGAGCTTGCTTTGGGAGGTTTTAGGCTCCGTTCTAGGGGTAGATAGTAGCCCTGCGCTTTCATATGCTACTTAAGATTTAGTAGAAGACGAGTCGGTTTCCCTGTCCAGCCAATGAACAAGCCTCTACTGTATATAATACAGACCCCGTCTCGCATGATAATCATTCTTCGCTGTTGCTTTCATGACTCACCGCATTATCTTTATTTTCGTTTCTATCGACGCCGCTCGTCGCGTCCGAACGCTAAATTCAACCAACATCATTCAACCTTGATTCAACCTGGCTCCAATCCGTGACCGATCACTGGCAGATCATAATCCGCAATGTGCCACCAGTCAGCCGAGGACCCCGGTTTATACCTTTGGGAGACCAGGTCCCAAAGTCGACCGATTCGCCATTTTTTGTCCGGACAGATTTTCGTCCTGCGAGGGCGATTTTTGTCCGGACAGGACCTAGCCGAGGTGCCCTAAAAAGGGAATTTCGGGTTCCCACGAGGCCTAAAATGCGGAAAATTTTCTGGCACCTCCATCTGCGATGCAGATTGTGTGAAAAGCGGTTTGCTGTCCATTTTGGACTAGGAAACGATGCTTTGAGGTCAAAATTTCGGGGTCCACCCGACCCGACTTTGGCTTGCCCCTCGAATTTTGTCCGGACAGGACCTGGCCTTGCGGCGGTCAGAAACTGATTTTTGTCCGGTTCGGACCTAGCTTTGGAGGTCAAAAATCCAAAAAATTGTCCGGTACCGGACCTGACCTCCAAAGGAATAAACCGGGGTCCTGTCAGCCGCCGTATTCACGGTCCGATACTACAATTGTCCTTGGTTCGCTCTATCTGTCCCGCTACCCTTCCAAAGTTCCAAGTTCTCACGCGCTATGCTGATCAAATTCGAACCGAGTCACTTCCCGCCGGAGTTAAAAATGCTAGCCGGACTCGGACGCTTCCTTCCTCCCCCCACTTCCTCCCCCCGCCCCCACTCACGGACGCACGCCTTGAGGATGACAGAGCCCACACCACTTCCGAAGCTGCAGCTGACGATCGCGGTGCTGATCCAGGCCGCTGAGGCACTCTCAGCGTAGGTCCCCGCCGCGCACTATTATGTGGACTCCTGGGCCGGGTTAACGTTGATCTTACTGGCAGGACCGTCATTTTCCCCTTCGTGCCGCAATTTGTGCGCGACACCGGGATTACCGGAGGTGACGAGCGCAAGACGGGCTACTGGGCCGGCGTGCTGGTCAAAACTCTTTCCTAATAGTTAAGGGCAGCGACTGATTCCGCCACCCTAGGAATCCGTGTTTTTCGTTGCCGAGTTTCTTTCGGTATACTCCTGGGGGCGCGCGTCCGACCGTTTTGGTCGCCGGCCTATTTTGCTCCTGGGGCCGTTCGGGCTGGCAATCTCGCTGATCGGCTTTGGAT